TAGCCTTCTTAATCCCCTCCAATTCGGCCTCGATCAAGTGCTCCTTGGTCTTCGTGTTGCCCTTGATCAGAACATCGTGGACCCTCAGATCGACTCGCTCGGTCGTCATCCGGTGGACCAGGTTCTCCAGTTTGGACTTCTCCGCACGCAACCGTGCCTCCTCGGAGAGGGGATTTCGTGGCAGAGATGGCTCTTGGTCGTCTTCGTCCTCGTCTTCCTCGTCTTCTTCGGCTCCGTCGTCATCGACTTCGTCGGGTTCGGGTTCGTCGTCGACGGTGACATTAGAGGGACGTTGGTCGTCGTGGTCGTTATTAGGGTTTTGGTTTTCGGAGTCTGAGTTTGCCATTGGGGGAGAGATAGGGGTGGGAGTGGGTGAAACGAGCGGCGGTGCTGTTGAATTTTGAAGGCCACTCAACAGTTACTTGCTGCAGTGTGTGATTGTGTGAGGCCTACTCTGTTTCTCTTGGGCCTTCGAAGCCTTTATTCTTTCGCGCCTTGGAAGCCTTGTTTTTTTCTTTTCAATAAGCAATGTAATATTATTGTAAATGTGATGATACTCTACAAAAAAAATCAGTTATCATACCTCTTCCTCACTTTGTGTTATATTCTCAATACAAAAATAAGCAAAAACTCAGTTTAGATTTCTTAAACTTAGAGCCTGTTACAAAAAATCAGTTATCCTATCAATTCTTTTAAAGAGATAAAGAAAAAGAAAAATTGTCATAGAGATTACAATTACTCAAAGGTTACACTATTATGTTTTAAATTTATTCTTTTCATATTTTGTTATTTAGAGTTTAGGATTTGTAAAGCAATTTTGATTTTCTAATTACTACAAGAAAATAGAAAATAGAAAAAGTTTCAGCCTAAAGCCCAAAAGGGCTCAGATCATTGAATGATTTATGGGCTAGGCTGGGCTTTCCCGGGGTCGTTTTCTGGGACCTTGGGCGAAAGGGCTCCTTAATTCAAATTCAAATAAAACCCCCCTCCTCCTCCTCCTCCTCCACCTCCTCCTCCTCCTCCACCTCCTCCTCCTCCTGCTCCTCCACCACCACCACCAACATTACCAGCATCCATGGCCAACAACGATCTCTTCACATCGTTAATCTCAGAAATCAAAGCCTATTCCGGCAAAGACCCTCTTCTCCCTTGGCTAAGGTACCCTTATCACCCCCATCTCTTCATCCCCATCATTTGAGATTGAATTCTTTAACCTTTTGCTTATATAATGTGGTTGCAGAGGGATTCGAAGAATGAACGACTCACTCCCACCTCACACTCTAAAGGAGAAGCTGCCTCGCTTCTTGCAGAAATGCGCACAGACTTTCGAGTCCGATCGGCGATATCGAAATGACTTACGCTACATTCGAGTTTGGTTAAAGTTGGTAACTTATCTGTCCCCTTTCTTTGTGATGATGGGTTTCTGGGACGTGTAGATTTTTCTTCATTTCTTAGCTACTGTTTGGTCAGTGAGAATATTGAGGGAGGATGGTTTTGGAATTTTATGCCAAGAATTGCACAAGGATCAGTCCAGTGGAGTCGGGTAAAGATTCGGTTTTTACATTGTTTCTTTTTTGTTTGTTTTTGTGGAATAGATGGATTTTGTAGATGTTCCGAGGGCACTGTTGAGAAAGATGGAGGCTAACCAAATTGGGACAAAGCACTCTCTGTTCTATCAGGCATATGCTCTGTACTACGAAAAGAACAAGAAATTTGAGGAGGCTGAAAAGATGTACCAATTGGGAGTGCAAAAGTAAGTGTTCAGCATTTTGTATATTGAGTGTATTATGATGCTCTCAGTATCTAAAATAAATAAAGCCATACTGGCTTTTCGTTTCTATTTCGTAGCATTGGATATGTTGTTTGGCTAATTTGCAGCTTAGATGCCAATTTGTAATTCGAATTTATAGTAGACGTCACAAATTTGGCCTATAAATGACAGTAACTTGAATGTTCAGAAGTCTAGTTGATCCTTGAGCGTGCATTATAATTGAGATAGAACATATTTCATCTTCCCAATCTGTTTAACATGTATTAGTTGCCGCTTTTATCAAATGAGTTGCTGTCTTTGATGCTAATGGTTTGAAATGGACTATATGTTCCTCCCATTGCAATAGCTACTTCAAAGGATGTCTCTGAAACTTGAACGGCTGTTTTATTTGCTTCTTACAAACTGTTGAACAGCCTTGCAGAGCCCATTGGAGCGTTAGAGAAATCGTATGAGCAGTTCCTTCTTCGCATGGAGAGACACAGGAGACACCGAAACCAGGTAGTTTCCTTCACTCTTTTTCCAGTTGTATAGCAATTTTAGTTTCTGTTGGTCAGACTATAACCCTAGAACAATGTTCTACAGTGCCAGGAAAAGAGAACAACAAAAAGGCCTTTGTCAGATAGGAGTATCCCTCCAAACGGAGAAAGGAACAAAGAAAATGCGTACAGGACTGGGGCCAGGCCTATAGAAGATGAGCATGATGCAAATATAAGTAAGCATCAAGCGACTGCTAAAAGAGAGTCAGATGAACCCAGGATGTTTGGCAGTGATGATACAGTGGTGGTGAAGTTTGTAGACACTGCCATTGTTGGAAAGTCTGAAGCAGAAGATGCATGTCACCATGGATTGGTGGATCCTACTATAAACATGAAAGAGGCCATGAGCGCCATAAATAACATGTTTCGAGAGCCTTTAGAGACAGCTCCAGTTAGTAGAAGATCACGCCAATGTCAAAGAAAGGATGATAATCTGGGCAACGGATTCAAGGTATTTGTTGATGGAAACTTATATAATAGAGGCAAATCAGAAGATAAAAAGGAAGAGTGGAGTTTTCCAGTGCTGCAGCATAGTAGAACTGCTACCCAGCAGTCTCACCAAGAACCTTTAAACATTTTCATTGATGATGATAAAGATAGCCCTGATCAGAGTGATGTCCAAAATTCGACAGAAGATTCTACCTCACCTGCTTCACATGGAAATGTTTTTGTGTTTCCAAATCCAAAAGATCTTCCAGGTGAAAGCTCTGGTGATTTGGATGTTGGAGGCTCATCTCGACCAGGGTTTAGAGAGGATACCATGGTTTGTAGGTTTGTTGGGTCTACTATTTCGGATGAGCCACAAGTGGAAAATGTTTGCCACCATGGTTTAGTAGACCCCACAATCAACTTAAAGGAAGCCATGGATGATATCAATAACATGTTTGGGAAGCCAATGGAGTTTGTAAGGAAGAGGAGAGTGAAGAAGCAGGACAAAGGACTAGATAGAAAAAATGATTTTGGTGGCTTTTCTATACTTCCTGATGATAACTTGGACCATAAACAAGAGAAGAAAATGCCAGATTTACCAGGAAGATCAAGAGATGCTGATTTGTTTGAGGCCACTGTAACAACAAAGGAGGCCATGGATGAGATCAATAAGATGTTTGGTATGCCCTTGGACTTTTAGGAACAATTTCAATTTTGAACTGCTATGTGTGTGATGCAGATTTTCGGATTTTTTGTTGTAAAATGTATTGAGTTGTGTTCCCCATTTAACCCTTGTACTTTAAATTTGGAAATCTCAGCATAAACAGATTTGTGCCTTATCTTTTTGTTTCTGTCTACTTTTTCTATCTTAGTTTCCAATTTAAGTCGAAGCTGAATTATGCCTACAATGCCATTAAGTTTGTCCCCTATTTACTCACTGTCAAAAGAATAGAAAAGAAATGGGCAAATGAAACATGTCATTTCATCACTCTGCAGTACAAACCAATTTATTCAAGAAACAAAACAACTGCTGCGAATACAGTTACATTTACAAAAAAAAAATTGAAAAAAAAACGAAAGTAGCAAATTCGGTTAAAATTTAGGACAATTAATCAGGGAATAGCTGGTGTGCCAAATCAAGAGTGAGTATTGGGGCAATGAGAAGGACGGAAAGCCAAAGGCCCTGCAGCATATATAACTGCCTCATAATTCTTACCCAACAATCTCTTGTTTTCGAAACGAAGAGGGGCACCATAGAGACCGTTATTGACATTGCTGAGATCACTGCAATTGGCAAGAGGAGAAGAAACTAGCTTCACATGGCACCCATGGAGGGGATGGTCCAATATAGAATGCCCCATTTTGAAGCCTTCAAGCTGAGCATAGAAGTAGCCTTTAAGGTCTGTGACAAAAGCCTTGTAGAAGCTGACTTGGTCCTTGTGGTTTTTGCAGATGACACTGACTTTAGCTGAAGGGATTGGCTCAGCATCAGTCAAGGACCATGTTCCATAGTGGTCACAGCTCTGGCAATAGATCATGCCTTCCACCACCACGTTGATTTTCTTCTGCGCTTCCTCGGACTTTTTCGGGTCATATTCAGTGGCTGCTATGGAAGGGAAGGCCAGTGGGATGAGGAGGAGGGTTGAAATGAGGATTATAAGCTGCCTGCTTGCCATTTCTTAGGACTTGGGGAAAGGACTTGCAGGAGCTTTATTATTAAGACTTTAGAGCACAAGGGTGGGTTGAATGAAGAGAGATTGGATTGGGTGGTATATATAGCAAATTGGATGATTGGTATATCTGGTGAAACAGAGTATTGTTATTGGACGTGGGGGCTGCTAAGTTGCATGTCAACGATCTGCAATATTCCAATACGTGAGGGCCATCTCTCTTATGATGAAAATAATCCTGCTTTATAATATGATATGATTTGTCTTTTATTTATTTATAAGTTGGCTGTAGGCAATCATAATGATCCGAGGTCTGTTATTTTTGGGTTGTATTTGGTATTACTTATAAATGTAATTCCAAAAGTGCAAATTAATCTGGATTTAACTTTCCCATAGATATCCAAAGCTTACAAGAACACTTGTAAGACTGCAACATGTTTCCAAAACTCATGTTTGGACTTCTGAAAGGTGCTTTCTCATTGAAGTTCATCATAGTTGAACGAACAAAGAAACTAATTGATAGGTTCATGTATTTTTTATGCCTTTTTTACATTTTACTGTTGAACAAAAATACTACGTTTTCCAGCCTATTTCGATTATATACAAGTAGAATTCTATCACCCTGCCATAGATACAAATCTCTATCAACTTAAGGGAGCTGCATAGTTGGTGCCTTGCCAGCTACAGAAGATGAAAACGTGCCCATGTTCATACTTACAATCAGGACTCTTCAGCATCTAGCTTCCATCTGGAGACAACAGTTCAAGCTCTGCCCACCAAAGAGGGGAGAGTTTTGGGGTTGCCCCATCAGGTGAAATTCCAGTTATTTCTCTCAATCTTGCACTGACTTCTCTCATTGGCGGTCTTTGTTTCGGGTCGGGATGGACGCAAGATCTTATTACTTCTCCGATTCGATCCAGCTGCTCCTCTTGGAAAGATTCTAGAGTTGGATCAACCATTTCTTTGAGGGGTTGCTCACCTCTCAAGTAGTCAGAAGCCCAGTCTTCAAGTGAGCCATTGTCCACTGAATAAGGAAGTCTGCCTGTTACCATTTCAAACAATATGACACCAAAGCTGTAAACATTACTTTCTCTGTTTGCTGATGGTGTGTTAAAAAGCTTTATGCCAGGTGATTCTTTCTCAGCTTCAGCTGTCTCGTTCCAGAAACTATATTCTGAGACCTTTGGCGCATAATCCTCCGTTAGCTGGACAGATGAAGAATTCAAGTTGTTGTGAGCTATAGGCGGGTTCAGCTGGTGCATATAATCGAGGCAGTAGGCCACTCCCATTGCTATTCTCATTCGCATTATCCAATCCAAGTGCTCAGCTTCTTTTACTGCAAGTTCATTAACATTAGTTTAGATATCTCATGCATTATAGCACAAACACACACATTTAAGGGAAGGACATTAAGAAGAGTTTCCTGTTAAGTTCAGAAAGAATCTAAGAAAATTTCTACCATAAACATACGTCTATCCATGAAAATAATAAAAAAGTAGCTTTGTACTCACTGTGTAAATGCTCAAAAAGTGTCCCATTGGGAGCATATTCAAAAACCATCATTCTAGTGAAAGGTTCTTCTTCCTCGCAGTACCCAATAAGGCTGACAAAATTCTTGTGGCTCACTTTTGATAATGTTTTGATCTGAAAACATAAGCATTAGAACAATTAGGGCCTGTTCTGTTAGACCACATGAAACGGGCATATCATTTTCTAACTTTCGCTTGTTTAATACCTTCTTCCTGTACTGCAACTCTAAATTGCTGCACCAACAGTTGGCAGATGTCTCTACAAGAGAAGCCACCGCAATTTCAACGCCACTAGACAATGTCCCTTTGTACACTGTACCAATTGGTGAAGAACCTATTACATTACTGAAATCTTCACAAGCCGCTTCAAGTTCTGATCTCTTAAGATTTGGTACCCCTGTAATGGAAGTTCGATTTCATGTTTAATTAAAAGAGACGCATAACTGGCAACATGAACATGAACAATGTATCTAATAGATGGAGTTGGGAAAGGGACTTGCGAATCTGCCTGCTTCACAACACGACACACCTGCTGGCACCACACTGCCAAACCCTTAGGTTCGCACCATTAAAAACTTCTGGAGCTACAATCATCATGAAGAGATGATTTACCTACCATTTTCACCAGTATTCACAGAATATTAAACAACTCAAAGTTGTCATACTTAATGCTTTTTTGCTCCCGTTATGCACGTAACTTGATATAGCAGCCGAGATGTTATTATGCATACACAATTATTTATCATTATAGAATTTAGATTTACATAAATTAACATTTTCTGTTACTTAATAAGCCTTACCAGTGACGAAGGCTTTTTGGAGCTGTCCGCTTAATCCTGTGGCCCAAGGTTTGACAGTAGCTACCTTGTTGCTTTTATAGAGATACAGAACAAGGATTGAAATTGCAAGAGAAACAGCCACGCCTGTGCCTCCAGTCAATAGTGCGACTTTATGCTTTGATGCAAAACTTTCGGAACTTGCTAAGGAGGTAGGCACTGGAGCAGAAAGTGAAGGTGAGGAAGCTGGTGCAGTAGGTGGGAAAGTTGGATTCAAGTGGGGTGGTCGTGCAGGTTCTGACCCTTCTGGCCTTTGTGTTTTGTTGGGTATAAATGGAGCAAAGCTAAAAAAATTTGTAGCCTCTGGAGGAGGGACAGTTGGAGCTTGGAGCACTCTCCTATGAATAGAGTGTTCAGTATGAGCGAGGTTCCTATAGCAAAGATAAAAGGCAGCATCAGATAAAACAGAAGATGCACTATTTCTAAATACATAAATATTTCAAGAGAAGTCACTAAGAGCATCTCATTGAGACTAGAGTATTCTATGACGAAAAGTAATGAACTCCTTTTTTCCTACATCATCAGTCCTGCAAAGCCTGATTGAAATTACATACCATGAAATGGATCTTTCATTGCAAGATGATTCTCGGTCTGCACCAGAAAGCCGATTCTCGTCAACTTGAAATTCGGAAAGAATCTTCAGGTTGTAAATTTCAGGAGATAAGATACCAAGAAGCCTGTTGTTATCCAGTAGGCTGCAACGTGAGCAAAAATTGATTATTATACATGTATGGGGCAAAATGATATAGAATAGATAGAACTGAATGTTCGACAGGTGAACCTACAGGATCGCCAACGAAAAATTACTGCCAAGGTCAGCCGGAAGTGGTCCACTGAAGTTGTTGTATCCTAAATCTAACACCTCCAATTCCTTCAACTCTCCGATCCCTCCAGGAATGATCCCCGTAAAGGAGTTGTTGCGCAAAATACTGTACGAAAACTTTAGTTTAGCAGGATGCACCAGAGAAAGATCTCAAAGAAATATACTGTAAATCATTACATATCAAGGCAATGATAAAAAAAATGCTTACATAGACTTTATATGGACAAGATTCCTGAGCTCAGGTGTTAATGTTCCACCAAGACAAAGATCTTTTAAGTTCCTGCGCATCATATACATCTAACTTTAGAATCAAAACGGTTAAAGTAGCAAAACAATGAATGATAAGTTTAAAACAATGGCAGTACTACCATATTAAACAACTTGACATTAGTCATCAAGTTCAAGTTTTTGATTGATTTGTGATAGAATTCATGATGTCCACTTTTTCCTTTCAGAGCTTCTTTTATGTCCTTGAATTAAAAACACAATGAAAATCCCATGTACTCATGGCCAGTTCATGGGCCAAAAGAGAAGAAGAAAGCTTTTTGAGCTATCTCAAAACTTCCTATCTTAAGAATTATATCTTCAGAGTCTCAACTTATCATTCAATATATGAATGGAAAAAGAAGGAAAGAAAATTACTCACAACACCACAACTTTTCCATCTGCACACTCGACCCCAAACCATGAGCAAGGGTCAACCTCTCCATCATCATCGTTCCAATTCGACAAAGCACCAAACGGGTCACTGACTACTCTATCTCTAAACCTCAATAGCGCCAAACCTGCACAAGAAACAACCAACTCTTTTTAAACATTTTCCTTCACTTTCTCGACGACCGAACAGTAAACACTTCAACACCAAAAGCCCCGCAGCTCAAACTAATCCCATACCTTCATCATTCAAAGACCAACAAAAACTCAAATTCTGAATCAACAAGCAGACCACCACCATACCCAGCATCCCCAAACGGTCCTTCAACCTACTGAACTTCCACTTCTTGTTCATTTTTGTCACGATCGACGCAAACCCAATCAAAATTTTCACGAGCTTGAAAGCAAACAGAGGCAAGCCAGAGCAAACCAAGCTCAGAACTTTGAACTTGTCTGTAATAAACAGAGTTGAAAAAGGCAAATGAGTAAAGATCAAAAAACGTGTTCTAGTACTCGCAACTAATTTAGACCCCCCAGAAGTGTTTGAAAACGCGTACCCTGCAATACATATGTTTGATTAATAAAAAAGACCTAATTTTTTATCTGTTTTTGGAGTGAGAATTAAACCAAACCAACCCAGAGGTTATAGCAATTGCCAAAAGGGCACGAACCCAAGTGAGAATGGGTCCTAGAAATAAAGCTCGCGCCAGGTTTTGGCAAGTGAGAGCTTGGAAAATGGAGGAAAGGTTGAGACTTGAGACGCGCGCGTTTGGATTTTAGTCAAGAACCGGAGAAAGACTTTTGGCGTACGACATGGACAAATAGACAACGAGCACGTCAGCTAAAAATAAAAATGATTTTTTTTTTATAAAGGGAAATAAATAGACGACGGAGACAGTGTTTGTGTCTTCATCTTATTGACTGAGTAAAACCGTATTTTCTGGACAAGTCTTTGAGTCGACATGGTACCTTCCACGAAATTTACAGCATTCCACCAAAAAATTCTTTTGTATTTGTATGGTTAGCAAGGATCTTCATAATTTTTGTGGACTTTAACATTTGCCCAAATAAAGATTTTAAATTAATCAGACCCCCAATATGATCTGCAGAATTCTCATCTACTTTTCGCTTGAAATATGTTTTCCCAAATTCTCAGTTATGTCTTAGAATCTAGTAAGATAAGAGTTTGTCGTGAAAGGGAAAGGAAACCAATCATGAAAATCACGAAGAAGATTGGTTTTAAAATCGAACTTATGTATGTGGTCCGTGCTCGTGCAATAAAGTTTCTATCTTGGTAGCGAGCAAACCATTGACTTTTAGATTTCTACAAAGACTAAAAAATTTATGTAATTCATATTTCATCTATACACACATCATCTATACACATAATTCATATTTCATCTACAAAGACTAACAAAGAATTAAATTGTTTGCATTTGGGTACCATGTGGCCAAAGTGCAACCCTTAATACATGAATTTTGTTCCTGTATAAGATTAGTCATAGTCAGGCCGCCTAGCTCAAACTTTTATTATATATTGGAATTTTTAAGTGAAGAATTAGCAAGTTAGTCTAATTAGATCACCATCCGCAATTTATTTTGTTTAGTTGCTTATGGATAATATTCATAATTATAGTCATCAGCTGGAAAGATTGAACATGATGATGTATTTGATATTGTCCCACTTCCAGCTCTTGGAATTGATAGGTTACTTAACCACTTTCCGTGCACACGTGTGCTGCGTATATCACAATTCACAAGCAAAAGGTCCAGCTCCAGGAAGATGAACCATTTGAACTGCGTGCACCCTAAGCCAGAATGTGCAATGAAGCAGTTTGCAGCCCATGTGTTTGAAAAAAGTCCAGACTGAAATCCATGTGCCGCGAAGCCTTTGATCAAAATCCACAACAAAACCTTGACTTAGCCCAAGCATCTATGTGAACCGATGGGCTTGCCCAAGCAGGCCAGTTTTTATAAAATTATTATTATTAATATTTTTCTTTTTCTGGTTGATTAGTCTTCAAGTGTATAATGTATTTATATTAAAATATACCAAAATTGAATAAACAGAAAGAATTTAAAAATAATAATAACTAAATTACAGACCGGTATGGTAGTTGATAGAATTTTAAAAAACAGACAATTTTGATGTAATATTAGGTAGCCTTTCTATATATACCATATTTATATATTCTCTTTATTCATTGAATTTAGAATTTTCAACATTAACTCTTGACCAAAAAAAAATAAAAATTCAACATTAACTCTGCCTACACCCACACCATTTTTTAAGTTCTAGACATCACACTATTTTCTTTAGTATGCAATACATGTTCATAGAAAAATATTAGAAAGCTAAAAAGACAATATGTTGATGGCAAAGGAAAAAACAAAGAAAAAGACAAGATGTTGAATTGAAAGAAATGCACCAATATAAAGTCACAAAAATAAAATATTTTCTGACAAATTATAATGTTATGACACAACTAATGCCCCGATAGTTGTAATATTTTCAATGACATATGAAGTTTTAAAGTCCAAAACAATCTTATCGCTTATACAAAAAATAATATATGTAATAACAACCGACTTTCATTCAACAAACAAAGGCATCGAATAAGACAATTTGGTTTCCTTAAATAACAAAATGCTAATTTAATAACAAGACAAAATAAAATTCTTGTTTCATTAATCAATCACATTCATATCCCTTGAACTAAGCAATTAACATCACATTCATATCCCTTGAACTAAGCAATTAACATTCTTTGGCAAAAAAAAACTATGCAATTAAATTTTAAAAAAAGAAAAACCTATGCAATTAACATAACAAAGAAAAAATAAGAAAAATAATAACTGTGTTTTTTCTTTTTTCTTTTGTTTTATAGTTTAATCTATTGGAGGATTGAGAGCTATACTTCCTTGTGTCGCCGTCGCAGCGGGGAACATGAAGGGCACATAATCAAACCGTTGACGTTGCAAACCGTACAAGGCCTAAACCCACCCTTGTCACTATAGACCTTATGGCTTCCATTACATTTTTGACAGAGAACAAATCTGAGCCCTCCACAAAAATCACAAGCTCTGGGGTCCACCACTGGGAGCCCTTGGATCAGTCTCTTCAGTTCACCATTCTCATGGAGCTGCTTCACCTCTTCGGCCCCACCAATGAACAGCCCGCCAATGAAAACCATTGGCAGAGTCAAAGTCTTATTCCCCGTAATCTCCTGCAGCTCGTCTAAAAATTTCGCGTCCATCGACAGATCTCGCTCGTCGATCGGGGCGCGGAACCCGCGGAGGATTGATCGGACGGTCTTGCAGTCCTCAAAGGTCCTGCGCACGACACGAAGGCTGGTGTAGTAGATTACGACGCGCTGGTCACCGTCCAGTAGTTTGGGGCTGTGTGGGGTCGCGTTTCGGTGGGCCCACAAGCGAAGGACTGACGTGGATATCTTGACCCGGTGCAATATGGAGGAGCTCCGCGGGCTGAGGGCTTCGGATTCGGGTTGGGGTTCGCAAAGGTTTTGGATGTCTTTGAAGGATGAGCAGGAAAAACTTCTCTGTGATCGTGGAGCTCTGGCTATGTGTACCCTGCTTGGTGATTTCAACCATGGTGCCCACATGGTACTAGAGAGAGAGAGAGAGAGAGAGAATAAAGGTGGATTTTTTTGGGAGGAGCGGGAGAGAAGGGTGGTTTACTGTATGTTGTTCTGGTGAGTATCTCCTTAGGGCTATTTAAGCAAAGCACAATAGGAATTAGGAAGCCCTAATAAAGTATGTGATGTTAAGTAGGTTCTTGATAAGAACATGAGACATCTTCAGAATTTCAAAAAAAAAAAAAAACAATTTTCAAAATAGTTCTCGGTTTGGTAAAAAATATGATATTACAACTCATCACAGTACATCGAATGTATCAAAAAATTACCAGTAGAATGTAATAGTAGTTAGTCAAAAACGGGTAACATTGCCACTTTCAAATTTATTGATTAAATTTTACTTTAAAATTAGTTAATTTGGTGTGCTACTAGGAGATGCAAAATGATCATAGAACAAGAAACTTTGTATAGTTTTTTTTTTTTTTCTTTTTACCAACATGAAAGACGAAGTTCGAACTTCAAACATTTTACAGTATTCAAAGAGGAAATATCGCAGGGAGTTTTAAAGTCTATTGGTACATGAACTTGGTGAATTTAGTAGGCATTCACAAGGGCATGGGAACCCCTCCATTGGTTTCAGATGACAAATTTCATGTGTGTGCTTTGTTTTCCTTCCTTGGTTAAAGGTTTGTTTAGAAGTAGTGTATGTCATAATACTTATTGTGTGGTGGGCTGAGAATTGCCAGGTATATTTGCGCTTGGTTGCAAAATATGAAAATAAGGATTCACTTACTTACCTAAGTTGCTCATAAAACATTATATATATCTCCTAATTTCAATTTACCATAGAGTTGTATTTTTCCAGTTTTGGGTACGAAAGGTATGTGTGCATGCACCGGCTTAACTGTTTTTGAGCTTTAAATATATATGTGTAATTTTGAGTTGTTAATCATAAACCCTATCTACACCAAAATTAATTAACCATTGGAAATCGGAAGTTGTTTTTGTAGATGCTTATTGGGCCTCATTGCCATATACAACCCAAATGCCTATCCCGTATCTGGAGAGGCTAGAATGAGGAGGTTGAGTGAGGAGGTTATTTGAGGAGGTGAAATCTCACCATCAACAACTAAAAACAAAGTACATGGGGGGGTGCATTGGGGGGTCCACACCCCTTTTGATGGTGAGATGGGCCTCCTCAAATAGCTTCCTCACTATAAACCCTCATTATAGAAGCTCCCATCAAGTATCTTTGGGTGAGTTTGTACCTCTCTATTTCTCTGATTTCGTATGGGACTCGCATAGCCCAACCCAATTGTCATTTATGTTTTTCTTTTTCTTTTTCTTTTGGTCAAATGTTACGGTCCTCCTGTCTAATGATGTTCAGACTTAGATGATGGTGTGCGCAACTTTTACAGGACTAGGTTCCTGAAAATTAACACATTATTTATCTACAACCTGTTGATTTTCTTACATTTTGCTGACACTCTTGACTACTCATAATGAGAAGAGGAACATGAAAAGAAAAAGAAAACACTAAGACCATTCTATTCCCTATCTTCTTTTATCTCTAATCAATGTGCCATTCTCTCATTGGCATCTTTGTGCCCTTTCTTCGGCATCTTTTTCTTTTCTTCTTCTTTTATCATTCATGGAGCCCAATTGCTCCATCTTTGTTTTTCATGGAGCCAAATCGCTCCATCTTCCATGCTTCATCAATTTGGGTGCATATCTGCCCCAATTTTCAATTTTGGGAACCCTTGTCCCAATTATTTGTAGGCCTTTTCTTTCTTCGATATCATTGTGCCCTTCTTAATTCATTCGGCATCCTTGTGCCTTCCTCTCTCAAGAGTTCATCTACCCATTGCAAGAAAAAAAAAAATTGTTCTTCCATACTTTCAAATATGAAGTACGGACACAGATACGAATATGGCGATATGATACGACACGACACGAGGATACGGTTATTAAAAATATATATTAATAAATATATATATAACTTGAAACAAATTTTAAATAAAAGAATTGAAAATTATAAAAAGAGTGTAGCATTTTGGGCTTTCTTTTCTGATTCTTTATATATTTTAAGACATGTATAGCTTTTTTCACCCAAACGTATCATCACCCAAAGCCCATTTTAATACTATTGCTTAAGACCCGCACCCATAACAGATCCATGTAAAAAAAAAAAAAAAACTACAAATCCTGTTTTAGCGCACAAATTCATGCTTTCTAAATACTGGCTCTCTTATTTTCAATTGAATAATGTTATGCATATTCCATTTATGGAGTGTTTACTAATCAAGAATTGAATTTCACTTATGGAGGATTCCTGCGTTTTTTTTTTGGTCAAGGTAATTCATTTCATAAAAATGAAAGGGATTACACAATCAAAAAAAGAAAAATAAAAACCAGCCCAACACTGATAGATACAAGGCCTCAGCCCAACAGAAATAAAAAAACCACATAAAAGAAAACCCTAAACAAACATCTAGCCCAATACAAACACAAAGGAAGAACCCTAAATCTGAGAAGCTACAGCCGCCACTCTCCTCATGCCGCGCCGCCGTCGCAAATCCACAACCACCAGAGATGAGTAACCAGTAACCAGACAAACCAATGCTTAGAACGGAGAATGGTGGTGGACAAACCACCCACGCAAAGAGAGCTACCATAATCCTAGAAGCTAGTGCAAAGAGCACTTTTGAAGCCTCCTCAACCATGGAGCCGAGGAGCAGTGGCTGGTGGTTGAGATCTTGGGTCGGGACATAGCCGGAGGGAATGTGTGGAGGACACCATAACAGAGAAGGGGCAAGGGATGTAGAGGTGAGAAGTGTAGACTGGAGAACAACATTTATGGATGGGGAAGACAGAGGGTTTTCCAAATTTGGGTAAAATTTTGGGAGATTTAAGATGAGGGTGAACATGGAGAGATAAAGAAAGTCAAACATGGGGGAGATCAGAGGGATGGGAAGGAGTTGGAGAGAAGATACAGAGAGGTAATGAGCAAAAACAAGCAAAAAGAAAAATAACATAAACTCTCACAGAGGAGAGGAGGAACTCTCACAGAGGAGAGAGATGACTCTCACAGAGGAGAGAGAGGACTCTCACGAAGGAGAGAGAGACAGAAAAAAGGAGAAGGAAGAAGTGGGAAGGAGGAGAGGAGAGGAGAGGGGAGGAGGAACAAAGGCCTCCTCCGCCAAAGCGGCGCTGCAAAAGTTTTCAGAAGAGGGGCTAGGGTTAGAGAGCGATTGGGAGAGCTATTTGACACAAAGCATCTGAGAGGTCTTGCTACAGGAGTTTGATCTTCGTTTTGCCATTCCATTTGGATTTTATCATGCTCCACTTAACTTCAGGATCCCCACATGAGTAATTTTTCCATGGGGGACCGAATTCTTGAACAAGCCTTCATCTCTTCCAGAGCAGTTCTTCTTGGGTAGTGATTTCTCTTCAGTTCGCACTGTGAGGGGCCCTACGACATCGATTTCTCTCTGAACAAACCGTTGATGTTGCAGACCGTACAAGGCTTAAACCCACCCTTGTCATGATAGACCTTATGGCTTCCATTACACTTTTGACAGAGAACAAATCTGAGCCCTCCACAAAAATCACAAGCCAACTAATTATATAATAGTTAGAGTCAATGACATCTTTGATTAAAAAAATATATTATGTTATCAATGGGCAAGAAATGATGTTTTATACATTAAATCATCATATATTATCTATGTAGAACAATCATAGTCCAAGGAATACACAAGTGGATATGAGAGCTATGTAATGAGATTGCATACATGGAGATTTCTCATCATCCCTAAATCTTGAATATGTTCCTAGTCATAGGAATATTAATTAGGCGTCAATATTCCCCAAAGACCAATACACACAGTATCGTCTCTATATGTAGGGAATGACAAGACCTCAAGTCATTAAGTGTGAAGACACATCGATATGTGTATATGTGTGTAGGTGCTTGTAGAAGAACAAGTACACTGAACGCGATCCAACACATGAGTTACAGCATGGAAGTCTTTACTCACATGTCAAGCTGGAATTCATAAATTGCAATGGTGCAAACTAATCCTTAGACTTGAGGCATCATAGATGTTTTGTGGCTATGTTGTTAATCTTTGAGGGCACTATACGGTCATGCTGAATTAGGCATAACTTAAAGGTGCTCATCAGGATTTTCAATAGAATCATGGAAGCAAATGAATGTACAACAATGAATCTCTACTCTTAGTAAAGGAGAGAGAATACTCCAAGATATGATTGGTCAAATATCTGCGCAGAGTAGTGGATAAGACTTGAAAGAAGAAGTCTTTAAATCTTACCAGGATAATCATATAAAAGAAATGATTCATGTTAGGATATTGACAATCGGATTCCATGATCTAATAATGTGAATAAGGAGTGTTGACATAAGAGAATGATTTAATTGCACGACCATTCCAATTTGAATAGATTCTTTCACAACGTCTCATTTAGCTCGGATAACCGTGACTTGCTCTTAGGTGACAACCATGATTTGTGGATGTCCTAAAAGATTTCAATTAACCTTTATTAATATGAAGAATTAAATTGTGGAATTTAATTCGTATATCATCTCTGAGGGGTTGAGTCAACCCACTACCTTACAAATGAGGAGAAATGAATTGAGGAGACACAAGTCAATGGTTGATAATCAAAGGTCAAAGTAAATGGTAAAAAGTCAACATGTTGACCGGAGCAATTGACCAAAGTCAAATAGTTCGATCGGGTCAATTAAGTAAGACTATAATTATAATTTAATAGTTAAATTATAATTAAAAGATTAATTATGAAATTAATATTGACGTATAGAAATATTGGAATGAGCTTTTGAATATGATTTAAAATGAAACAGACAAGATAGCCCAAAAGGCTATTGGGTGTTCGGTTCATTTTTACACATGATTTTTCATGTTATTCACCCACTATTTTGAGTTAGTTCTTGACATTTTATAGCTTTTTACTTCCTTTTTGTGTTTTCTTAGATTTTACCTTGGTTGGAATGAAAATGAGCTAAAAGTGCACTATTTGTTATAATTTCTGTTTTTGTTCATTTTCGTAGGTCAACTTCTTGGCCTGGGATCAACATGCTCCGGTGCTCGGAT